AGTGCCTGCAGCCTCCACTGCAGAATTACCAGCTTGACACTTCTCCAGGGAAACACTCCTTACCAGCAATGCCCTCCATCCTGTCCTGTGCTCTGTGCACTGCTCATTGACTTGCTGTCTCACTCCTTTCTCAAGTTACTTTACATTTCCTCAGTTACTTATATGGAGTTGGGAAACGCGATGAACCCTTTTACTGCGCTTAATATCTTCTGGCTTGCTTAGAAGAGCCTTGCTGTCAGACATATTAAAATGTATAAGCATCTGTTTAGAGACCAAATATCTGCTGGTCTCTAAACTATTTTCCGTACAGAACTGAAACCTCTCAGATGGTAAGAAAATGTGTAAATCTCTCCATGCAAATTGGTGCTGGAAGACTAGGCTGATGAAACAAAGAACCAATAGCATATTTTCCCACAAACATTTGTGTTGTSTTAGTGGTTTTCCATATGCTAGCAGGAAATTACCATAGCCTCACTTTCTAAATAGTCAATGGGTAGATGATATCACCATGGTGAAGACAGACCGTCTTCCTGCTGGAAATGCCCATTGCTGGCTCYGCCACTATGTGAGATCACTTCCTAGGGCAATTTGTTCCTATAATTTCCTTCTTTAATCTTCCAAACCATACTGCCACCTTGTGCTTCTGTTTCTGGGAGGACTGTGAAGTATCATGAAAGCATGTTAAATCGCTTGGTGTTACCATAATTACTTTTTTTCTTCATGATTTGAATGCATAATTTCATCTGCTTTCCTCAAATAGCTATAAAGTTTTTGTTACTTGATCATTRTTGATTCTTCCCTTTGACTTTATCTCCCAACACGAGGGCCTTTCAGATGCCCCGTTGTGCACTGTGGTGGTTCAGCTAGTGGTTTAGAAGGAGTTCACCTACCTGTGCAGCCCAAGGGGGTGGACAGATGGGAGGAGCAACTTCAGGAGCTCATTCTCAGCCATCTCTATCTCCTTTGCAGTTTGTCAGTCTTCAAATTTGTGCCTCTCTCTACCTTGGAACTTACTTTGCAATTTCCTGACTTTCTTCTGCCTGGTTTGGGAAAGGCCTACTCATTCAATTCTGAGCATAGTCTAAAGCTAAGAAGATTGCCTGCACTCAAAGGTAATGGATAACAGGAAGCTGCAGAATGATTTACAGTTGGTAGAGTCCCAGTGCAGGTTATACGTTGAGAACCTATGAACTAAACCTACTAAACTTCCATGCCCTTCTGGAGACTAAACAAGAACATAAAATCTGGRAAGTTTTTGAAATCCCTGATGAACAGAAGACATTTCATTGGCTTGTTTCTTGTTCAAATGAGCTGTCTTTTGGGTTAGATAAGTTTGTTCACAAATGTTTAGCCAAGTCTTTTGCACTGCTTGTTAATTATTTCTGCTATCATCTGGAAAATAACAATACAAACATATCTTATCTCTAGTGCTAGTAGTGCAGCATGTTACAAATGTGTGTGTTACATGAGTTGCCTCATGGTGCTGGGGTGACTGACCCTTATTACAAGCTAATCACAGCAGATGCTTTGTCTAATAGCTGTCAGAATTAAGGTAGGGCCTGGCATAGTCACCTTCTACAAGAAAGGAAAGTCCTTTCTGAAATAAATACGTTTTTAAGAGCTGAGTTGTTGCTCACAGCAGAGCAGACGATTTCCAGAGGCCAATCTGCATAACGATAACACGTTCTCTACTTTGACCTCAGCAAGGCWTTCGATACCACCTCCCATAAAATCCTCACGGGCAAGCTCAGGAAGTGTGGGTTAGATGTGTGGACAGCAGGGTGGATCAAGAACTGGCTGGATGGCAGAGCTCAGAGGGTTGTGACAGACGGTGCCGAGTCTGTTGCGGCCAGCAGTGACCCTCAGGTACAAGGACTACCCCTCAGGTATGAGTACTGGGCCCAGTGCTATTCAGCTTACTCATGAATCACTTAGATGAGGGGACAGAGTTCACCCTCAGCAAGTGTGCAGACGATACCAAGCTGGGTGGAGTGGCCGACACTCCAGAGGGCTGTGCTGCCCTTCAGAGGGACCTGGACAGGCTGGAGAAGTGAACAAATAGGAACCTCATGGGGTTCAACAAGGGCAAATGCAGGGTCTTGCACTTGGGGAGGAATAACCCCAGACACCAGGACAGATTAGGGGCTGACCTGCTGGAGGGAGTTACATGGAGAGGCGTTTAGGAGTCCTGGTTGACAACAAGTTACCTATGAGCCAGCAGTGCCCTCGTAGCCAAGAAGGCCAAAGGATCCTGGCCTGCATCAGCAGCAATGTTGTCAGCAGGTCAAAGGAGGGGATCCTGCCTCTCTCCTCAGCTCAGTGAGGCCGCACCTGGAGCATTGGATGCCGTTCTGGGCTCCCCAGGACAAGAGGGACGTGGAGCTTCTAGAGAAGGTCCAGCAGAGAGCCACAAAGATGATTAAAGGATGCAAAAAAGAGGAGGKGGCTATTTTGAAGGTAAGATAGTATCATTTTCTCACAGTCCCAATAGAAACAAGATCAGAACTGAGTGAACTAATCAGTAAGAAATGTATATCCCAGATTAAAGACTACATATAAGTATAAAGGCTGCCTATAARTGACATCCCAGGAGCAAGCTCATACCCACCATGAGATGGAGCCAGCAGAACAACAGCTTCCAGGAGACATATCCAGAAGGAGGGCTAGAATTTCAAAGTTGGTACAGTGCTTCCATACAATGGAGTCCAGCCCTRACAATCTGAACAAAATGTAGCTCATCTAGTCAGAGGATGGTGCATTTTTTAGTGCTCCAATATCTAATTTCATGCCACACTGAAGGAAAGCAGAATCTTTCACATCTTATGAACATGGACTGTCTCAAAATAGGTCTCTCCTACTCAGAAAAAGATGATGTTTGGTTCTTGTCTTTCTGTCATCAGAGGTGACACAAAACCTTTTGCATTGAAGTTGCTTCCCAGTGAAACTCACAGAGCCCTTTAAACCCTTCTGGCTTTTTCCCCACACAGCTTTCAAACACTTCAGAGGGTCATGAGACACTAAAAAGGGTGTGCCTGGACCTTGGAGTTAAGCTGTGAGCAAAGCTCTGTTTTTCTGAAGGGTTACTATTCACAGCAGCTGTTTACCCTTGGTGTTGCCAGTCAGGCACTGCAAGTCCTCTTATTGGCAAAAGCAAAGGGGGAAAAATTGCAGACATCTTCAGGTTTTCTTTCTATATGGCAATGACCATCCCAATGCCACCATGCCTCCAGACATGGCCTGGAAGGCTGTTCTCATTTTCAGTCATTTCACTTCTAGGCTTTAAGCACATGGGTTTGGTAAAGAATGCACAGGGAATGCAAAGAGGCACAGGGAATCAAAATCACCTTCTTCAAAACAGTCAAACAAGGTCTCTACAACTACCTGAAAGCAGATGGCCGTGAGGTGGGGGTCAATCTTTTCTTCAATATAACCGCCGATAGGACAAGAAGTTATGGCTTCAAAGTGCACCAGAGTTTGTTCAGGTTAGATATTAGGAAAAAATTCTGCACAGAAAGAGTAGCCAAGCATTGGCCCGCGGGGAAGTGGTGGAGTCACCATCCCTGGCAGTGTTCAAGCAACGTGTAGTTGAGGCTCTCAGGGACATGGTTTAGCAGGCATCGCGTTGAAAGGGTTACAGTTGGACTCGATGATCTTGAAGGTCTTTTCCAATCATACTGATTCTATGTAAATCTTAATTCTGACACCAGTGAATGATCCATTGTAAGCTAAAAGAAGTGTCTAAGAAAAGCCAGATGTCCCATCCTCTTGGAGATACCAGTGCCTCTCCACTGACTTGGGATCTAGCTGATTTGTGTGGTTACCTTTTTAATAACTAAATTTAGATTAGAAATGTTTCCTTCTCCTTTGCTGGAAAAAAGAGTGGCAGTCTTCAGCTAACCAGACTAAGAACAAAATGTGTCCATCCTTCTCACTCTGTTTTGACAGCTCAATGGAAACTATGGTTCACAGCCTATCTGGCCCATTCTTGTACAAATAAAAGTGTAGATGTGAGCACTCAAAGAACAGTTAAAAGGTTGTGGACTCTAGCTCAACTGCATCAAGCTGGGGAAGGATAGAAAACGCCCTTCACAGCTCATTGCCATCACCTGAGGGACATGTAAACATCCTCTAAGTTTTATATATATATATATATATGCATACATATATACATATATATAGCCTCTGAATTTTAACATTCCCTTCCAGTTCCATAACAACTAAGACTTTGTATCTTTTTTACCATCTATCTCAAACGCTCTAATGGGATAATCTGAATGGAAGCAGAGGACTGAGTTGTTCTCTAGCCCATTTTGATGGCCCCGAGGAAGCCACTACTGTGGTAGCTTGGGTGAGATCCTTCTCATCTGAAAGTGGTTGTCTGAGAGTTGGCTGAGCTCCTGTTCCACTTTGTGGAGAGAAAGAGCCACTACCAGATGGCAGTGATATCTGTTTGGGGCCTCCCCTACAGACAAGTGCCCATGGGAGGACTGGGGCCAGTTGCTTTCCTTTCTAGGCAGGCACTGCTGCTGAGGTGAGTCCCACTTGCTGGGATTGCCTTAAGGATGCTGTGTAAATGAGGGCCTGTCTCTCATCCCTCCCTCCTCCATGTCCTTATTCTGTACAGGAATACACCAGGATCGCATTATTACAGGTCGCAGTTGTCACAAGGACTATTACAGGTTGTAGCATTGCCTGATGTCCTGAAGAAAAGAAGTATTTCAAGTTTTATTGACAGCACTAGAAGCTGAATTCGTATGTTCTACGTTACACAAAGGAACACAAGCCAGGAACATTAAAAAAAAAAAAGGCAAAAGAAAAAAAAAAAGTATCTGTCTACAATTGCTTCATTTCCAGTTTGTTCATTTTTTATCTTGTGCAGATTAATAAGTAACCTCATATCTCATCAGAATCAGAGAGGTGCCATTGGCTGATTTTACCATGTGTTTCAGTGCTAGAGTATATATATACGTATGTATAACTGGATTTACAGGTGCAGTTTCAGTTTCTTCTGAAACTTGACATATTTTATTTGGCCACCATGGAGCCTCTGGGAATGACCACTATTTTCTTAATGACTTGTGTCTCATGCCTTCTCCTTTCTGCGTGGAAAGGTAAATCCAAATCAGAGAAGCAGCCTCCTGGTCCTTTAGCACTCCCCCTAATTGGAAGCGTGCTCCATCTGAATCCACGAAACTTGCCTCAAAGCCTGGAGAAGGTAAGGAATTGTCTCTTTTCTTCCTATGTTGTCACCATTGCATTTAAAATGTCCAGTGCAGATGGGCTCTCAGCTCAACGCAACRATGTCAAAACTGCATTCACTGAATGTCAGACTCAAAACAGAAAGAAAAAAGCTTTCTTGAAATATGTGCATCTAAAACCCGTATGTTTTCTGTAATAATGATCATAATGATGAGTGCTCTGCTGATCTCATAACAATACTGCAATCTGCAATGGCTTTGCAGCTAATGTACTGATGCTGTTCGTGGTACTTGAGCCCAGCTCCACATTAYTCCAGCAACATTGCCTGGCCCTGGTTTGGGAATGACTTGGGAATGACCTCCACTCCATTTTGCTGCCTCTCCTTTCYAGCAGATAGACATAGATAGACGTGATCTCCTATGAGGGGATGCAGAGAGTGAAGCAGAAAAGTCTGGAGGGGAAGTGCGCTATCCAGTTCTTCCCCCAGCTAATGGCACATATGTGTCAAACAAAGCCTATGTGTTGGGATTTCTGTTGGAGCATCTGCAACAYGACTACATGGAGAGGATAATGACTGTATGAGAAAGGTCTCTGGGCTTCCAGATATTTTGAACTGAGGTCCTCTCCATGAGGTGAAAACTCTCAGGGACAAATCCCAGTATCTCCAGGAAATCAAACCAGCTGAGAAGCTCTAGGCTTCAGCTACAGGCTCAGCAAATCCACAAGTTTTATGAGTAGYGTGGAACATGGTGGCACTGTAGTGTGTTGCCAAGTGTGAATACTTAGAGAGGGGAAGGTCAAGTGGTAACATAGCTGCACCTGCCAATAGGTCATGTAGCAGAAGGCTTTTCTGTACCACGGGCAGCAATCCACTTCAGCCTCTATAGTTCAGCCTCCTGCCTCCACATGGCAACTCTATATCAGAAGTATCATTCCTCAAAAAATAGAGTCTGTGGAGAGTTCAGAATTTTACATGCTAGGCAATATTAAAAGGAGACTCTCATAGATTAATGTTCACACATAGCCATAATRGTGACTGTGATTCATCTGAGAAAAGCATAATCCCGTGTTTTCCAGTGCAATGACTACATGCCTCCAGCCTGGACATTGATAAGCAGGACTGGAGCATAAGCGAACATTCTGTCTGTCATGGTAGGATGGAATCCACATATATATCCAGAGTTAAACAAACAAACAAACAAACAAACAAACAAAMAAAAAAAAAAAACCAACACTTTTGCATGAAGAGTTAGGACTTACAAAATTGCGTCAGAGCATTCACTTCTTTGGGGCAAAAGGGTAACTAACTCTAACTCCAGCACAAGGAGCTAGAGACCATTCTCTTGTATACTCTCCCAATGTCCAGAAATCTGTGGCCCAGACTTAGCAAGGAGTCCAGACTGGCCTGAAGTTCCTATGAAGACACACTTGCAGTGTCATTTTCTTTGTGTTCTCTCCTACAGCTCAGCCAGAAATACGGTCCTGTCTTCAAAATACGTTTAGGCCCCAGGGAGATTGTGGTTCTTTATGGCTATGATGTTGTGAAGGAAGCTCTGATTGACCAGGCAGATGATTTCAGCGGAAGAGGCATTCTACCACTGTTTGAGAAATTCTTCAAAGGCACAGGTTTGTCCTTGCTAATCTTAGCATGCAGAGCTGATGCTTTCAGCGCTTCAGGAAAGAGCTGAGAAGGAAGTGAAAGAGGCAACATGGGGATTTTGTTTACTACTGCTAGGTGTGTGTATACATATATATATATATATATATATATACACACACATTCTGCCTTTTATATATATATATACACACACACACACACACACATATATATATGTATATATATATATATAAAAGGCAGAATGAAAGACCAAGAGCCTAATTCTCTACCTCTATCCATGAGTAAATGGGAATTACACACACACACACGCACACAAGCTGTTTAAGGTTCGAGGCTGGCTTCATTGAGTACCTTGTTTCTTCAGCAGTCTTCAATTTCTAGACAAAAATTTTGTTTGTGAAGTATGCTGGTAAAATCTTTTATTATTATTATCCCATCTCTGAAAATATTAGCAATACAAGACTGCTAAGGAAAGAGCAGAAGTTCAATTCCAAAGCACAATATAGAGAAATTAAACAAAGGCCATTGGCCAAGAACAATAAAAGCCAGGTCCCAGGTTCATTCAGCACAGCAGTTGCCTGTATGGTATTTATCCATGCAAATACCTATTCCTGTGTGTGTAGGAGACAGAAGGGGAGAAAGCAGAACTGTTAGGATTTCCAAGCAGCCTCATAGTCAGTAGGTGCATTCAGGCTCCACAGTAATCAAATGGCCCTTTTCTGTAATGATTATTTCAGCAGTGCTCTTAGAGAAATCCTGCTGGCATCTAATAATGAGGAACATCATTCCTAGGACCCTTCTCATAGAATCCTTCATGCTCCTCCTTCCCTTGTGTTTTACTCATATTGTGGCAATCCAAATGAACAGATCTGCCACCTGGATACCTGCAGAGAAGTCAGGTTTGGGGCATATAGACTGTCTCCTCACAGGGTCTCTGCTTTTCCTTCCTGTGTCAGGCATCGTGAACAGCAGCGGGGAGGCCTGGAAGCAACTCCGACGCTTTACCCTCAGTACCCTGCGTGATTTTGGGATGGGGAAGAAGGGCATTGAGCAGCAGATCCAAGAGGAAGCTCATTTTCTGGTGGAGAGGCTCAGGAACACACATGGTAAGACACGGGCTTTGTGACTACTAGGACAGCTTAGTAGCAGCAAAGAGAGCGAAGGGTGTGGGTGCATCACCAATGAGGGGTCTGGTGCATCACCAAATGCATGACCAAGATGACCATGATTTGCTGCATCTCCAAATGCATGACACAAGAAGTGAGCACATGGCTGCTGAATTTGCTCCCTAACCCAAGGAGTCTTAAAGCTGGTGCCAAGATAACTCATTTCCAGATATTTGGGTTTGGGTCTAATCTTCTAAATACTAGATAATATTTCCCAGTGCTTAGGGATGGGATGAGGGGATGGGGACCACTACACGCTGTTTTCAAGTGCACATGGTAACCCCATTGGTTTCACCCTGCAAAGGCTCTTCTGGTAGTGTATCAGTCAAAAGCATTTCTTCTAAATATCTCCCCTGGGAGTGGTACAGAGCTGGCAAGAGCCATGGGGTTCCTCTCTACAACCATCCATCATATATGCTTATTCTGTAAAGAAAAAAGCAGACAAACCTAAAAGGATGCTGGAATAGCACTGCCATGAACACTGGTTTTGGTGGGATACTCAGAGCCATTTCTAATGAGAGATTAGTATCCTTGTAAACTAGAGATGTACATCATACCACGGATGCAAAACTTCCCAGCAGTGTCAGTGGAGGGAGCAATGGACCAAAATAACTAATGCAAGATATGGATTTTGTTCCAGAACGTCCCTTTGATCCCAGCAACTACCTAATACACGCTGTTTCGAACATCATCTGCTCCATCATCTTTGGGAATCGGTTTGATTATGAGGACAAAAAATTTCTGACTTTACTTGACTTGCTGGATGAAAACAACCGTATCCAGAACTCTGTATCTACAATGGTGCGTGCAAAGTTTCATTTTCTTAATAAATTTCTTAATGACTATATTTTATCAGTGATTATGTTATTAGTTTTTCATTGGGATTGTTTGTCCTAAGTAGGAGAAGATTTTTGAAGGCCAAAAAAAGCAGTTAAGCAAACAATTATTTGATCTTTTTTTTTCCTTGAGGACTTTCCATTTTAACAATATCATTATAAAAGTAACCAAACTGTGGTAAAGTTTCCTTGAATACAGTGACACCATAGTTTGCAAAAGGCAATAAATACCAGTTGAATATTAAAAACCTACTGTTCCAAAATTGCTTAACCAGCTTCTTTGCATAATTACTGCTAAGGGAAAGCTTTGCTGCATTCAAATTAACCATCATTTTATTTTTACAGTTATACAATTTCTTCCCAAGTGTCCTGGAACGCTTACCTGGGGCTCATCACAGAATGGAGAAAAATATTGATGGAGTGAATGATTTTATTTCTGAAATTTTAAAAGCCCACCAGGAAACTCTGGATCCCAGCTGTCCTCGAGATTTCATCGATGCTTTTGTTATCAAAATGGAACAGGTAGTGTAACAGAGATACCTTTTTAGATTACAAGGAAAACACGGTTCGGAATCCCAGCATCTTCTTCCAGTTCTCACTGGGTACTCTGCTMTTGCACATAAAGAGGAACACTGTTTTACCTGGCACATCAATGTCTGTCCTCTCCATTTTCTTACTAAGAATTTTAGAGAATCATAGAACAATGACATGCAGCACCAACCAAAGTTGGAAAGCTGAAGATCAATGTAGCTGATGTAAGTCAGGGTTCCTCCAATATTAAAAAAAGAAATTCATTATGTTGGTCAGTAAAAATACTATAATTGCTGGTGTTCTGGAGAGTGAATGTTGTATTTCTGAGACACATTATACATGTATGTATATGTATACATTATACATGTATGTATACATGTATGTATACATGTATTTCTGAGATAAATTATACAGGTATCTAAGAACATGTATAATGTGTACAAGATCTTCCTTTGTAAATAAGTTGCGTTAGGTAAACAAGTTTCTCAATTTGCCAAATCTTTCTCCAGGAGAAAGGAAACAGTCATTCATATTTTAATGCTGAGACCTTGTGCAGAACCACACTTGACTTGTTCCTTGCTGGAACAGGGACAACCAGCAACACACTGAGATATGGACTTCTGATTCTCATGAAATATCCCGAGGTAGAAGGTAAGGCAAAAGGCAATAAATAACTGTTTTTTTTTTTTTTTAAGTCATTGTATCAATTTGAACTACTCATGTCAATACTGCAAAGGGCAATGTTCCCTTGATGAAGGAAACATGTATTTACAAAATGGAAGGTGTACCAACCTTGGTTCTGTTCACAGTAAACGATTATTGCTGGTGTGCCAAAAGTAAGTTCTGTTGTACATCAAGGCCAACAGGAGAGAGGGAGACTTGTCCATTCAACACTGATTTATTTTCTAACAGAGAAAATTCACAAGGAGATTGACCATGTGATCGGCCGAGACCGAAGTCCCTGCATGGCAGATCGGAGCCGGATGCCGTACACAGATGCTGTGGTCCACGAAATCCAGAGATTCATTGATTTCCTTCCACTTAACGTCCCACATGCCGTGACCAAAGACACCAAGTTCAGAAACTATTTCATCCCCAAGGTCAGTTCCACTGCTTCTGAGAAAAGTCATAATGTTGTGCCCCAAGAGGCAAAGATCTGTGTTCTGTTCATTGTATTCTATTTTCTTATCAACAATGAAAATCAACCATAGAATAATTCAGTCTGAAAAGGGCATCTAGAAGTTATTTATTCCAGCTCCCTGTATTTGAACAAAGACTTTCCATCTTCTATGTGAGTTTCGGTATTTCACACAAATGCAAGCAGTCTTTTATAATTTATTTGGAAAAGAAAAATCAAATATTCTAACCAGTCTTAACATTAAAATGCATTGAAAAATGTTTTTATCATACTTCATTTCTACATAAACTGGTGGCACACATTTTTACTCACTTAAGCTTTGATTACTTAGATTAGAAAGTTCTGTTAGCTTTCTATCGGCTAGAGGAGTAAAGGATCATGAGTCAATGACCAGTAATAACGCTTTTCAAGCTGCGCTCTTTTCCTTAGGGAAAGAGCATTTCTAACCACCTAATTTCTATTTAAAATAATCTATGTGCTAAATAGGGATTTATTTGGGCAGCTGCCTAACTCACTAGGGTTTTCAAAGCAAATCACATGTGCATGTGCAGACTCAGGTATCCTGACCTAGTAGCCCAGAGCTCTACTATGTTTTGCTTTGTTCACTTTCAGCTGCCCCATGAGATGACCACAGAACTTACACAGGCTAACAGAACAGAGAAGGAAGTCAAATAAGAGCTGGACCTTCCTGTTCTGGACTTCAGGGTAGCTAGATATTGTCCCCATACAAACTTTGGAGCTGGATTCTCTTCCTATTTAATTTCAAAGCTGGRAAGTCAAGAATTAAGGTCTCAGTTTTCGAGGGAGGCAGACACCTTAAACTAAGAGTCCTTTAGAGGCAAGATTAGGCATCAAGACCAGCGGTGGTCTAGGCCTGTGTTTCCCTTTATGAATCAGTATTCCCTGCTTCTTACTTCTTATAAAAATAATTACTATTGCATGAACTGCATCAATGATAAAAGGTAGCCATAAATGGCTCTCAGATACAAACCTTACCACTTTGATACACATTCCTGAACTTCTTTTCTTGCTCAGAAGAGTACTTCAGTACTTCAAATCTCACCCAAGATTTTCCCCAATGACTCCTTTTAAGTCGTATTAGTTTATCTCATGCAATTTTAATCTTGTTACTTCTTAACAACTTCTTGTTACTTTTGAAGTCTGTACATAAYGGGTCCATATAGAGAACTTCTCAAGGCCACTTGGCCTTAGAGTATCTCTGCTTTAACTCTCTTCTCTATTTTTGCTAATTCAGGACACTATGGTACTTCCTATGCTTACGTCTGTCCTATATGACAGCAAGGAATTTCCAAAYCCAGAAAAATTTGACCCAGGACACTTCTTAAACGCAAATGGTACTTTTAAAAAGAGTGACTACTTCCTGCCATTTTCTACAGGTAAGTAGTTTATCTGTTTCAAAACCTAAGCTCTCCTCTCCTAGAGACTCTCTGACAATTTCAGCRGCTCTGCCACCATGGTGTCCACAGCGATGCTACCATCTCCTGTTACAATCACTTCAGACAGCTCTAAACCCTGCACTAGAGTTCCAAATGATTTCATCTTTTACCATTGCAAAATCTCCTCCAATTGCTTCTAAAAGAAGAGATACCTGAACCCACAGCCATGCCACTTGTCCCTTCTCTCCAAATCTGGTATCAAACAGCAGCAGGACGTGAGAAGCTGAAACCTTCAAATTGCTTTGGCCCACCAGACGCTTCCATGTTGAAGCCCCCTAGTTTTAGTCATTCACTTCTGTAGTGCTGCTTAACTTCCATTAAGCAGTAATTAAAATATGTTACTAGAAAAACATTCCACTATCACCTCACTTTCATTCTTCCTTGCAGGAAAACGTGTCTGTGCAGGAGAAGGTCTGGCGCGCATGGAGATATTCATCTTTTTAACTGCCATCCTGCAGAATTTTACTTTGAAGCCTGCTAAAGATCGCAAGGACGTTGACATTTCTCCAATAATCACTGTTTTTGCAAACACGCCCAAACCTTATGAGGTTTCTTTTCTTCCTCGTTAGCCAAGTAAATACAGTGGCAATTCCCTAAGCTCCTGAAAGCTCTGATCAAGTGACAATCATTTTCTAACCTGGAAATACCAAAACATTAAGACCATCTGCTAGTATGACATTTCTCTTGATAAAGAATCTATAAAGAAGAAAATGTTTGTATGCATTCAGCTCTAAGGCAAACAGGTAGTCGCACAGGGGAGGAAACAGCTCCTTATGGCAAAGCCATACAGGCTCTTCCTATCTGATTTCTGACACAGCTTACAACTGGACTTGATCTTGAAGGTCTTTTCCAACCCTCATGATTCTATGATTCTATCTCAGTTAGTGCTCTCAGAGCCCTGCTATTACTGTCTGTAGCACCTGATTTCTCAGCACAGCAGGAACAAACAGTTGTACTACAGAGTCTTCCCAGGGCCCAGCTTGAGGTACATGTCTCTGCTCTGTAGTTTCTTTTTGTAGGTACACATTTCTTTGTGACCTATTTGTAACAGCAAATACAACCTGTTTTCCATCCTCGGGGGCTCAGCAGACACTGTATTCTTGCCATATCCTGGCATTGGGGGGGGATGAAGTTCATCTGATGACTAGGCAAATTGGTCTCCTTCTGTATGATTAAAACAGAATTATATTTTCTGTAARATTACACTTTGCTTGCAAAATAAAGAAAAAATAATAAACTAGACTGTTGTTTTCCTGAGATCCTAGACAAGGGATTTTGGTGGATAACCTGCATCCACATAGGCTAGACTCCCAAACTATTTTCCCAGACTTGTACATACATGACTACTTTACTTCATTGATTTATATGAAATGTATTCTGACTTGAAGACTGAGCTAGTCTACAACCTAAAAAGCTTTCCTTCCTAGTGATAATGTGAGAGTAAAACTCTCCTTATTAGACCACACTCATCTTACTGCACATGTTAGAATTGAAGTTACAGAGTTGTCCACCGGACAAAACAGGACAACTAATTGTACTGGATATACCAATTTCCTAAAACAATTGTGGGACTCCCAACGGTGCCATTTACTAGAGAAACGGCAGCTTCTATCTTCCCATCTGAACCTATGATACATACTTAAAAGCAAATACAGGCAGGTGAACCTGGCCTATGTGGAAAAAGACAGCAACAGCAACATTATCACAATGGCATTAGCTGTTTATGTAAAGCACCCAAAACTTCTTTTCTTTCAAATCACAGATATGCTTGACATACCACAGATTGGTATCAGAGCATTACAAAGGCACTGAATACGAATGAAAGACACAGGAAAACATCACCTAGTTTACTGATGTAAGTTTCCTCACCAATTAAAAAAAAAAGAAAGCACAAAGTTCACATTAACTTTTCCCTTCCTGTTTTTCCATAATCTTGCTGGACATGAAGCCAACTGCTGTGGTTTGGAGTTACATATATCACTATCTAGAAGCAATTTCCACACACGGCCTCCTCAGGGTCTCCTACCGTGTATCTTTATGGTGCTGTTCTCCTATTCCTTACTCCGTGCCTTTAAATTTTAAGTAAAATCCCTAACTTTCTACCACATAACAGAGGCCTATTTCTTTGAAGCAGATTGTCTGGACTTCCTCTGTTCCTAGCACAACCTTTTAGGGGTGAGTGAGTCAGGGAAGGCAACAGAACCCATGTGAAAAACATTCCTGAACATCTTAGAATAGACTTTGTTGCACTGGGATATGCCCAGTCCCTAGCATGGAAAGCTGGGTGACGATGTCACCAGAGCTTCCTGCTTTCTAGATCACAACCAGACCTTACAGGACACAGTAGCTATCATCTGCGACAGCAAGAGTCATGAACCATTTGTTCTATGAGCCCAAGGTTTCTCTAGATTCAACCAGGCTTGTCTTTTGTACCAAACAAAACATCAGCTCATTCCACTGTTGTCTTCTTAGTGAAATCCTCCCACAAGGACAGCTCTATCCCAGTGAGAGCTCCTTGCCTGAGAAGAAGCTTCTACTCACTATAAAGGTATGTGCAGATGCAGCCTATTCCTCWGGAGAATTTTGTGAGACTGGCCTAAGTCTGCTTTTGCTGAACTGTTCACCTTCATCAGTCACAGATTCCTTCACAACATCAGGTCCATCCTGATGCAGCAGATACTAAGCCCAAATACGTTGTGAACAGGGCACCACACTCCTTACTGTGAAGTTGACCACAGAAGACCACAGTTTTTACATCGCAGACATTTAATTTTTGAAACAGAAGTAAATTACACACTAATAAAAGGGCTCTTGTGAAATAAATTAACACTAAGATCCAGTTCAACGCATAGCAGYTTTGCTACTGCCCTGGGCCTTCCATATAGGATCACTGGAGATTCRATTCAATTAGTAACTACTCAATTGACTTTGACTAGTGACTAGAAACAAAAAAAAAAAAATGGGCCACACCTGCAGAACTGCTGCAGTTTAGCTCTTCTGCTGACTTCACAGTCCCTGGGGAGTATTACCTTGTAGGTACCTGGAGCTGCTAAGTGCTAACTTTATGTTGCCCAAGTCCACAGTGAAGCAAAGCAGGTGCATGAAGAAAGGCAACTAAGGAGAAAAAAAAAATCCCACAACCCAGCACTGCATCACAGTAGTGAACATGACCACACATAGTATTCTGGGAGTAGAGGATTTACAGTGGACTCGGGAATGAGTTCCAGGCCTCCCTAGAACGCTCAGCACTGTAATGAAAACCTTTCTTCCTCCAAAAGACACCAAAGTTCTGAGCAGCACCCTCAATACCGTTTTTACATCAGCCACAGAAGACCTGTGATTCTCCTCCAGAATGGCTAAAAACAAGATGGCACCACAAAACAAAATACYGGTACGTCTAGCCAAAACACGGCACAAAGATTTTTCCATCTGGCTGGCCAAATCCTGTGCTCCCGAAGAAATAAGAACATACCATCAATCCTAAGATGATGATGATGACCTGTTAGCTCTTAAAGCTAGCTGCTCTTCTTCATGGTACAATTTCTTCCAACACAGATATGGTAACTCATTTGTTGGTATTTATTGCTGTTGGGTCAGGTGACTGATAACAATCACTGCAGCACTGGAACAGGCTGCCCAGAGCGGTTGTGGAGTCGCCTGCTCTGGAGATCTTCCAAACCCATTTGGATGCCACCTTGTGCCATGTGCTCTAGGTGACCCTGCTAAAGCAGGGCGGGTTGGACTAGATGATCTCTAGAGGTCCCTTCCAGCCTCAACCATTCTGTGATTCTTTCAACAATACTATCTAATTTGCTCTCAAAAGTAAAACCCTTCCCAGTGAGCTGATACTASAGAACAGCAATACAGTAAACATCTGGTTGCCTCTAGGAGCCTTAATACTGTACTTTAAAGTTACTCATTCCAAAAAGGCCTTTCTCCTAACTTAACTCTATTCATTAAATTCYACATGATGGCCATCTAGAATAGCATTTTTCATTTTAAAACCCAAGATTATGAAAGCCATACTGAAGGCTTTCAATGATTTCTTACTTTGTTATTCTTAAATAGCCAAAGGGAAGAGACAAGTGTCAATTTTGGCTATTTAAAGCTGATATACCCCAACTGACAGCTTTCTAATCTTTACCAGATCAGCACTTGCCTAATCACTCTTCCGACTAGCTAGCACGAAGTTTGAATTTCTTAATTCTTACCTCAGCACATGTACTCTACTGCCATTCACTCAGAAGACAACTTCTACTAGATCTACCAGATCAATACACAGGAAAATTAAAKATCAGCTACCTAGAATGCTGGTAATGTGTTAGAGAAAGCACTTTTGGAATTGGGCATGTACCTTCAAAAACTATTATAACTAAATTGTGACAGAAGTAGAGAAAGTATCTGCTAAATCAGCTGATCCTGAGAGGTCCTGAGAGTGAAGGCATGTGAGTACAGAAATACCTGATGCAGAGCTTAAAGCATGTTCTCTTCTACAGTTTCCCGTAGCTGAAAGGAATTAGTCATTGTTAACATATCCTTTGGGGAAAAATAAGACACCTTGCATAATCTTTCCAGTAGGAGTGTGAGATTCCAGAGAGATAAATACAACGTGTTCAGTTTTATTGCAAATATATCATAATTAGTCTTTCTACTTCAAACACATAAAGATGGAGGCCAAACTTAAGCATTTTCAGTAACTCCAAAGGCCAGGACATCTTCTCATTTTCTCAGTGCAGGAACACAGTTAAGGGAAGAAGAAAAAACAAACAAAAAACAAACCAAAACAAAACACAAGGTGTGAAAGAGGTTTGAGTCCTCACGCTACTGAGGAACAACATCTTTCCAAGTTATGGAGAGCTTTAGGGCTTTCCTTAGGTAGAAGGCATTATGGGAGACARAGAACTAACACACAGATACCTTCCATCAGCAGAAGGGTTAGGGAAAGGTTTCACATTTGCACCTTTTTTCCACTACAAAATAATATTTGAGGCAACAGAAACATTTGAGAAGAGGCAAATATTCTGCCTCACAAAGGTTAGATACAAAAAGTTACCAGTCGAKGCCAGCTGCAATCAGCTCCTTAGCAATGTATGCAATTGCTGTTATGCAACTTAAAYAGAGATCAGTCTCTCTCATAACCCAACTTCCAACTTCAGTATTACTATTAAGTTAAGTCTCTGTTGTAGATTTCATCGTTTCTCCAGTTTTTTGTACTTGGCTTCTGCAGAAAGAAAAACAACAATATTTTAGGACTGCATGGCTAAAGGGCTTGAAATCTGCAGGGTGCTATATATTTTAAACTCAGGTTAATTTAAAGACCATTTTTTTCTGGGAAGTACTTAGACAAATCTAGTTGTCCAGTGGGATTTTTTAAGAATTAAATGCTTAGGTCAAGCAGTTAGTATTAAATTAAGCCAAGGGCATTGGGTGCCCGATTGAACATCAAAATCTCTCTTTCAAGATTTTGCCTTGGAAACTTGGATCACAGGACATTGCAAACAAGAAACCAAGCTTYATTAATAGACTGTATCTCACGAATATCTGCACACATCTACCTCTATATAACTTGATACCAGCACCTGCCACTTCCCATGCCCCTCCAGTATTCAATCCCCCAAACGCAGGTGAATGCCATGCTGTATGAGCAACTGCAAAGTTCAGACAGTAGAGAAGCTCAGAGAAGCTTATTTTACCTTGCTAAATCCCCTCACAAGGGGTTGTGTTGATAGCTAGTAACAGTAGGGGGCAATAGTTACCAAGTTTTTTGGAATAAGCATCCAATTTATAAGCTGCCTGCTCCAAAGCTGCAACCTGCTCCTCAATCAGGTTAATCTGTTCCAGATAAGGCTGAAGAGCAGCATCTTAAAAAGTAAAGAAAGCACATTTGTCAGTTCCTACCAATTCACTCAAGGAAACCATTCACACTTGAAATCAAACGATTTCTCAGGACATTCTTTGGGAAGAATATTTTAAAATCTCCTTCCTCTCCTGCCTCCAAAATCAAGTGGTGATGCTGAAAGTCATATTTCAGTGACGCATGAGAAGTTCAAACTATAGTTTCAAACTCAACACTAATACAATACTGTGGGAATCAAAAAAAGAGTTATTCAATCTCAACCAGTTCTGAAAGCAGTGACAAAATAGCCATGACATAGGCTAGTGTAAGAGAAAATATCATTATACTTTCTGAAACTACGTAGTCTATAGACTTGAAGAAATGCACAAGACTGACATTGTGTAACAACATGCAAATTTTGTAGTCTTCCYTCCTTCAGAGCTTCTTGCAGTGTACACTACAGATTCTTTAGATACTTAGATGCTTTATTTACTGTGCAAGTGTATAGTTTATTATACTTTTCCTTTTCTTGGTTTACTTACATTTTTGATTTAAATCCTTCAGATTTCTACTGATGTTTATAGCAATATCTTTCATTTCCAGGTACTTCAAACTAGTCAGCTTGTTCATGTTTTCCAAGAGTTTGTAGTCTTCACTGGTGGCTTAAAAACAATAAAGTTTATTTTATTTGAAAGCTAGTACAGTCTGATTTGGGGGCATACAATTCAACAGCACTAGAGATTTCAAAAATGTATATATCTAAATATAACTAAGAACAGTTTACCTGGCAATACACTAATAAGTATATTTTGAGATATTTAAAGAATATCTGCAAAACGAGATCATATTCTGCAGGGTAGAAAAATCAGCTGGACTGACATATTGCACTTGCAAGGCATTTGAGGAAAAAAAAATCACCCCATTCCACACATTTCTACCATTCTGACAGGCAGATGCTTCTGTTCACAAAACTGATGATAAAAATTCAGACAGCCAATCTGACCATATACCCTCCAGCCCATGCAAAGCAACAGTGATGTGAAGTGCTTTTGAAATTAGAGCCCAAATAGTTGTTTAACTTGTTGAATGCTTTCTAATTTTCTTTTTTTTTGGGGGGGGGGGAAGGCAGCAAGGGGTGAGGTGAGGATGGGGGATTGAAGGAATGAAACAGGGGAAGAACTAAGGGCTAGACTTTGTAACACTATGACTAATACATTGACTAGAAATAACACGAGAAATTCCTGAAGAAAGGAAATTTTAAAATATTATTTTGAGGACAGCCTCTGATACATCAAAACATAAAAAGAAAAGATGTTCCAAGGATTARAATGGCAGACTGAGATTTGGATGATCCCAACACTTTCCAGGCTTCCTTGCCTATCTCAGCCAAGTAATTTAGACCCAAATTGTCAAAATAATAGTTCAATAGTAGTTAGATCGTTAACTTCCTACATTCCATAGTTTCCTATCTGAAAAACAGGCATCACTGATCTTCCATACCTTTACACCAGCCTGGAGATAATAATCACATTAGAGATAAAGCAAGAGTAAGAACAACCTCATCTAGACTACACTTAGGCAACCTAACTTGGAAGCTGGCCCTGCTCTGAGCAGGGAGTTAGGCTAGATGATCTGCAGAGGTACCTTCACATGTAAATTACCATAGCATTTTCAGATATATATAATCCAAAGAGCTGGACAGCCCTGCAGATTTTTAAAAGCTAAAAATGGCAACATTATGCACATTATTAGGGCATAAAGAACAGTCATCAATTACATTCTATATTGTTATTTATACTTTGATCATTTTTAACCCACAAGTAGCTTAAAACCTCCAAGTCTATAATGTTATAAACCAGAGCCAGGCTCCTGAAATAGGCATYTCATTTTACTTTACTGCAGCTAACACTGCAGAGCAGTTTAATGYAAAGCATGAAGGCTGGAACATGTACACACAATCCTTACTCTCATTCAGAAATAAAAGAACAGCACAGGTGCTACTCTCAGTTGTCCTTCTCTTCCAGTCCTTCTTAGCCTAGATCTGCTATGTTTTTGCCCACACACAAGCTTGTGCCAGACTAGAAATGCCTTGTTACGGTTTGTGTCAGCCTGGGCTTTTTAAAAATATTTGTGCATATCTGGGTCTTCATTCACATGACCAATCTCAGGGTTGCTAGTAGTCAAGCAACTTGCCAGACTAGAACCACTTATCCCRATAGATACGATCTAAATAGGTATAATTTAGACAAATTAGGCAGCAGATTTCTTTWAAAAAAATAATTATTAAAAGAAAGGAACACAATGAAATGCTCCTTGCAGGTGAGCAGTGCAACGCCTTACCTGTCAGCTCGCCTGTCAGGTAAGTGGCCATCTTGCTGAACATGTCCTTGCAGAGCTCGTTGATGTCTGCTTCGGCCGGCTCCTTGGCTTCCTCGGCCGTTTCAACCGGAGGGTCCTCTGAGCAGGATACAGAGAGGTCACTGAGCGGGGGAACGCTGCGGAGAGCAGCCGCAGCTCACAGACCACACCTAGCTCCCACACGTTTGTGTTAAGGGGTAAGTAACCCWGGCAGGCTCTGTAAAGCCCTACCACGATGGTGTTTTGGGGTTAGGAACCTGCTGCGAGGCACACATTGCTAGCAGCCCGCTCCCCGGCTCGAAGCGGGACTCCGGGGGCCGCTGCTGCGAGCCCCGCTGCCCCCAGGCCCCGCTCAGGCCGCGACGCGCTTCCAAGCCGGCTCCTCCCGCCCACGGCGGCTGGGCGGGAAGGCGCAGCCGCTGCGGCCGCGGCGCCCCGGGGCAGCCCCTCCGCCGCGGTCGCCATGGCGACGCAGCCCCCCGCGCCGCCGCTTCCGCCCTCGCCCAATCGGCGCCGCCCCGCCCCGCGGCGCATGCGCGCGGCGGCGGCAGACTGGAACCTTCGCGCCTGCGCAGTGCCGCGGTGGCGTCTGCGCGGGCGGAAGTCTCCCGTGGGTTTTAAAAATAATATGTATGTTTTTAACGGCGGTTTCCTGCAGCCGCGCAGCCCGTCTGTTCCGTATCAAATATAGCAGCGTAAGGCTCGAGAGGTGCCCCTAAAACAAGCCGCTGTTATGAGTACACAAAATCTGGTTTATTGATAAAAAGGACGGGAGGAAATTCCCTTCTTCAGTCATAAATGGTTCATTCGCACATCGGGGTCGCTTGGGGCGCTTTGGGCGCCCAGCCCTGGGCCTGTTCACCCCCTGCACCTGGAAGGAGCAGCAGATCCATGCCTAAAGGCCCTCCTAACCTTGCACTTCATGGGAAGGGAGAAGCTCCTTGTTTCACAGGGCCGTGGCTCCCTTTATCCAGTAACTGTTCAGTTTCTCAGAAATATGCCCAAGGTGGGCCACAGAAGTATGAAATTGCATGACATGTAGTTTGTTAAGTAGTTAAGACAATATATTCCCCTCTCAGGTCCTTAAAATTTCACCTTCTCACTGTGAAGAACATCATTATTGTCACATGGAAATGACAGTTCAGGCAAGGCAACGAGAGTCCCATTTGACATCCAGGGAAGTCTGCTAAAATGTGTTGTGAGCCTCCGCAGGCTCTGAAACCCTTTTCAGTCTCAAGGCCTGAGCAGTCGCGGCGCGAGGCGGTGGTGGCTCTAGGTGAACTTCCTCATGAACCGCAGCTTTGCGTAGGCTATGACGAGGAAGATAACAGTCATGCAGAACAGAGCCACTATGTTCTCCCACATGGCCCAGGTGGTAGGTGCAATTCCCTGGCTGCAGAGTTGTGCCTCACCAAAGCAGCTGCAGAAAAGCACGGTGCAAAAGTTAGCACAGGCTGCCTGGCACTGTCAATCTCCAAGCAGTGTCTTCTATTCCTGTTCCATAAAGATTTCTCTAGCCACAAATMAACAAGACAGAAGTGGAGGAGCATAATAACCTATCATGAACATGCAAAAGAACCAATCTGGATCTGTTTTTCATCATCTTTGAGATGGCCCTAGTTATTCACAGACAGCTGGTGATATGCAAGTAAGCCTCAGGAGCACAGTAGACCCCTGATAGGCACCAAGACATTTKTTTCATAAAGCAATCACAGGAGGTCTATAAAACAAAGCTGAGGTCCCCAAAGCTGTGAAATCTGCTGTAGTGCTATCCCCTGCCATAACCTCGGTCTATCAGCCATGTGTCATCATGATTAAACACTTTGCTGCAGTTTAATGTATCAGTAGTCACAATATTTAAAGTATGGCAGTAACCCTAGGAGGTACCTTGGCACAATTCTGTGTCTGTGGGGATGGTATCACTATTTTCCAATTACCTCTGAGGGACAGGTGTATTTCTCATCACAAGTCTACTGCTTCCCACCTAGTCCAGAAATGGTTGCTCAGAAATTCCTATTGCAAAGTGACCCCACGGTTGTTGGTTCCTAAGAAAACTGATAAACCAGGGCCAAGTAATACAAAGCAATCAATTTCATTAGGTCATTTGCCCCTTTTTAGGAGTAGAAGTCTTGTCTTTACTTCAGTCTTAAGTGACGATGATCAAAAATACATTATGTTGTGACATACCTTTAGGGAGACTAGCTCTCGAATGGTTATTCTATGAATAGTATATACAGTTGAAATAGACATTTCTTCGAGGGAGAGATTACAGCTAGGCCTAAAACCATCACGAAGCAGACACTTACATTTCTCCCGAAATAACTGGGGGACAGCTGCCTACAGGCACTGTGTCATTCGGCTTCTTCTCGCCGCAGAAGTAGAGATCTCTAAACTCATTTACTTGAAGAGCCTAGGGAAAGATTCAGACACTATTTTTTTTTTTTCTCTTCAAAGAGCTAGTGATTTGGGGCACTAGAGCTGAAACACCTCTGAAAGACACATACTCAGCCATGTTCCTTTTAGGCTTGTGGGACAGCTCCACAAACAGCAATACTGATACAAACCTCTCAGTGATGCCAAACCAGGAAAGGTCTCCTCTCTCCCCACTTCCCTGATCTTTCTCCCTGACCTGCACCAGCTCTGGTATTCATTTGCCCCTTCAGTGAACCCTTTGAGGGGTTCCCCAGCTCCTTGCTATTCTGAAGTGGAAATTAGCCACATTCCTCTTCACAGAAGAAGCATTACTGAAGACTGGCACATTCAGGTATTATGGTAAATGCAGTCATTAACCTCATACTGACCACCCAGATAGCCATCTCAGCAGGGGCCATGCAATATTTCACTTTTTAAACCACAAGAATCAGCTATGTAGATTAGGAACAAGGACCTCACTGAGACAGCTTGCTCTGCTGCTGTCCATGCAGCACTAATTTTGTTCTTCAAATGTTTTTTTTTTTTTTTTTAAACACCTCTTGCACGTAAGAGAAACTTTTGCTTCCTTYGTATTTTTCTTTTTGGCTACTTTATGCCCAAAAGACCAATACTACTTTTTACTCACAGTTAGGCCATATCGTGGGATGCTGAAGTACTTCAGCCAGTTCAACCAGTCCATTACAGAAGGGAGGTTTACCAAGAGGCCAGAAAAGATCTGAAACAGCAGAACATAATAAACTGTAATAAAGTCACACATTCTTGTTCTTGCCAGCACTACCACTTCTGCACAGATAATTGTATCCTACCCACTGTGATGGATGGACCTCCTACCACTGTTTTGGCTGTGCCTACAGGCAAAGTGTTAACCTTGCAGCAGTGTCACTCAGCTGTCATTTGGCTTTTTGCAAAAGCAGGTTAAAATACGTTGCAAGCTAGAGGATAAAGAGTTTTGCTGTGAGCTCTGCATATGTGCACAAAATACTATTAGGAATCTCCTGAGAAGAGGTTACTTTTCATGCTATGGTAACTCTATAGGCCTCACAGTCAGAAGGTTTTATCACTAACATCATCACTTTAAAGATATCACATCTCTCATCTGCATGTAGGCAAAGTTACTTTCTTCCTCACTTGCTGGCTTCCCTAGAATTTCTTGAAAATATTGAAGCAATACTGAATTAAAATGAAGAGAGGGTATGTTCTTCCTAACTACACTGTGCAGAAAGAGTCAATGCAGTAGCAAAATAAGAAAACAAACTCACACTGCAGATCTTAAGTGATCTAGCTGATTGCTTAGATTTATAGTATTATAAAACACAAAAATTTAATAGTTTTTGTAAAGCAAATTAAAACTACACCTTGGAGAACACCAGGTTTACACATTTCCAGTGGCACTTCACCTACAAAATTGTATCTGAGTGATGATTTGACACTTGATCTCAGGACTGTGGATTTTCAGCCTGCTTATGGCTGGTTCAATCCAATTTTCTCATCTCATCTCCTACACCCAGCTGTGCTGTCAGTTACTGCATCACTTCCACCACCAAAACAACATACATGCAGACACAGACTCTTATATACTCACGAGCATCAGGACAAAACAAATAGTGATGAGCAGGTTGGCCACAGCCACTACCTCCATCCCAGCACTGATGGCCAGAGACATGGCAGTGGCAGTGTAAGATACCAGGACCAAGGTCAGCATGAAGAAGAAGAACCGGCCTGCAACAGCCTGGTAGCCTGAACAAAAAACAAAAAATCAGGGGGAGAAATGCCTAGTAAATAGTCACACCATGAATCCCAGACAGATACCTTTAGACTCCTGGAAAATTGGAAAAGAAACTGTTTGGAGATGCAGCAGTTGTGCATACCTCAGCAAACTTTGTCAAGATAATGGTCAAACAACTTGCTGTCTTAGATAGACGGTGTCTGCCCCATTCCAGAGTCCTCCAAAGCTATTCTGACATCAAGCATTTAATCAGTTGAGGATTCAACTGCATATAGAATTCCTACATCTATATAAGATGAAGGAATTAACTCTGGCTGAGTCACAAATCAAACATGTTGGAAGATGACAGGTTCAATGAAAGCATCAATTCTTTACCAATCATCCAATAACTGATGCATGAGAATATGATGGCTGGAGCAGTTCTCATGGGCAACAGATCTCCTATCATCAATGCCAAGAAGTAGGCAGACACACGGTAATATCCACTGGTGTACTGGTGGCTGCAAGAACAGGAAAGGGCAGAGTTGCACAGGGTTAGAGGAGATGTAGAAATGATGCTCAGTACATGCATCTGGTCTGTCTTGGTTCAGCTTCTGTTCTTTGCCACTGACTCCGTCTCTATATGCAAGCTACGTATTTTTTTGTGCTATCACTTCCTCATCTGTCAAATAAGGGCAAATGCTGAGCTATCTCATGACCCTAGGAACGAYACTGCAAGCACTTAGAGGCGACTGAAAGGCTGTGGCTGCTAAGCAGTCAAAACCTCCACTGTCACAGATCGTAAACTTAGTGGTAAGCGAGGCAGCCTGACAAGAAATGCTGTGCAGGAGCCTTTAATCCTGGGCAGTMCCTGGGGTCAATACCGAGGTGCTCTGAGCAAGCTCTGGTAAACCTATGGCACATCTAAAYTTTAGGACTCTTATGCTAGTGCCTTACAGAAGTGATATCCATTTTCCAGGCTTTGAACCCTAGTTTCCTCTTTACTGCAGAACGTGCCTCTTGCCCTCTCATCCACTAAGCTGGAGGTTATTCTAAACTATATTTTCTACCCATACATAAGGGTGCACTCAACTCAGGGAGCTTTTAGAAAGCAGCCAGCAGCTCTTTTCCTCTCAGCATCCTTGGTGAAACTTTTCCCATAACTTTTCCTTCATCTTTGTACCTTCTTACCCCTGTGGGATCACTGATGGATAACTTTTCATACCTGAAAGTATAAAGGCAGGCTCTGCCCTGGCCAGGCAAAACACATTCCAAAACAGATCTTAACAAAAGAAAGACAAATTCTTCCTGATTACCCATTGTGCAGCAGGCAAATAAAAAGATTTTATTCCTTCTTTCCTTCTCCATATCACTTGCCTCTTTYCATTTTGTCTCCCTATTTTATGGGCAGACTTACTGTTGCTATTAGAATCTATTGTTGCAAGGGAGAAGTGAGCTCTTAAGTCTTGGCAGACTAAAGTCACTTTGGTTATCCTGCAAGACATTTGCATGTTGTTCCTTCCCACCACTTCTTCCCCCCCAACACAGAGAGGAGGGGGAAAATCCCAAGTGGAAAGAGTACTACTACTTACACAAATAACTTCTTGTCTCTGATGAACAATTCAATTGCAGAGACACTGGAAAAACACTGGTTTGTGGTGACAAAAAACAAAGAACCAACCCTGAAAACAGAACAGTCAAGAAGTGAGGAGACAGCAATGATCAGAACAGATCACCACACCAGTTGAGTCAGTGCTTCTGTATCTGTAGCCACAGTACAGATTAATTAGCTGGACTACTATAGATATTAGCTGTAAAACCAGGCTTGTCCCTTTGCCTTCCCCTTTACACTCCCTTTCTTGGTCCACATCTGAGAGCCTGATAGGACCGTGGTCCTTTTACAGACTCCAGGAATATACATGTTACAGTTGCTAAACATCCATGCTGGTCCAAGCAGAGCCTTGCCTGCTGCTGAAAGCTGCCTGCAAGCTTCTGTTGTGAGCTGCAGCTTTCCCACTTACCGATTCTGAATGCCACTTCGATCCAGTTTTACACCAAAAAAGATGGCACCCACGACCAGAGCTAGGATTATGGTCACTGCGATCTAGAAGTGGAAAGAAAAAAGAAATGGAGGAAGGAATGCTTCAAAAGGGTTAATAAGGCCAAGTCATTAGACAGTATTCAGTCACTGAGGTACATTCAGGGTTTAAGATTCACATCTGCCTAAAAACCTTTGCTACAGAGACTCAAGCCACAAAATTAACACCACCCTRGAAACTCCACACATGAACTCAAGGATAGAGCATTTCCCTTGACTCCCCCCGTGCAGAGACTAAAGAACTAAGAACAAGTCYGCATCCTTTACAGTTACCTACCTGCGCAACAGAGGCCTGTGGGTTCCTGATGAGGTTTTTCAGGGAGCGCTTGGACAGCCAGTAGAGCTGGGTGAGGAAGCCGTTTGCATAGGTAATCTCATGTCCCTTCTTGGATCTCCTCTGCTTGCTTCCCTGCGCAGGCTCCACTTTCCTCAGTGCCTCCCTTGTGCTCTGATACAGGCTGGAGTTGAGGTACTTCTGGTGCAGCACATCTACCACACTCCTGTCCGCGTTCTCCTCGGCCACTCCATTTTCACCACTCACCTCTGTACAGCAAAGACAACAAAAGGCTTCTAATTCCCCAGGAACCTTACCTTCAGACGGGTCAGCTGTGGAGGCTGGATAAAATAGCAGGAATGCTTTAAGTATCTGATTGTTCAAACCTCAGGGCTGCACTTGGGAGGGTAGATTGAGTGAGGGGATTTCCCTGCAATTTTAAGCCAATCCATCTGGCTGCTTATGGCCCAAACATTCCTCCATCTCAGGAACAGCCACCAGAAAAATTATACCTTTTCCCCCCCATGCACCAAAGGCATCACTACCACAACTGCTTAACAAATATCTAATGTATTCTTATAATCCTTCAGACGTGGTTATAATACAGCATCTCTGGTGTTTCCAATATTTCGCTCAGTGTAGTGTTAAAGTTTGTTCTCATATCCAGTTCCAGTATTTTTCACTGCCATGGAAATCCATTGGCCCATCTACCCTGCCTTCTCTGCAGCGGTCTCTTGTGTGACGGAAGATTTCTGCCTTTCTGTCAGCCATCCTTTGCATCTAAGCATTTCGAATTCTTCAATCCTTCCCATGTGCCCTGCTCTGTACAGCACTGATGCTTCTCAGTGCACTCTCATATTACTAAAGGAAACAAAATCCCCTTTAAAGAGCATGTATTAGAAGGGAAAGTATATTGAAAAGGAAACCGCAGATTACAGGAAAAAAATAGAGAATAGAGTTCATTATCACCACATCCTATTTCCTTTCTACTCCAACCAACAGTGGATTTCTCCTTTAAAATTTTACCTTTTTCTGTGTCCACAGGTTTATGATCTTCCTTGCTTGCTGCCACAGCAGTTGAATCACCATTTATGACATCAAGGAAGAAGTCAGCTGGGTTGTTGAAGGGTTCACATTCATATCCTTACAAAAGAGTAACCACAATACACAGTTTGTATTGCAGAGAACTCATCTTGGAAGGTCAAGCCTATCACTACATCACTTTTACACAACCCTACAATTCACAGCTCTCTAAGAACAGCTAGCATTAGTTACAGAAGACTTACCAATAGATTGAAAATATTCCAGGGCCTTCTTAGCAGGTCCATGGTACAGCACCTTTCCCAAAGCAAGTAATGTTAGACTATCAAATAGCTTGAATATGGAATAACGAGGCTGGTGGATGGAAAAGATTATGGTTCGTCCTCTTCTGGAGAGCCTGAAATAGAAACAAAACATCTCTCAAAACACACTACACTTTGGATTTTGGAAAGAGCACATTGACCCAAACAAAAATTAATCCTCCAAATCTGAAACAAGAATCGGTTAGATAAGAGTCAACTCAGTAACAGCAGTTTCATTTTCTCTCTTGCTGTGTCACACACTGAAAAACCTTCAGGCAGCATGTATGATCACAAATATGACCACAACTATTATAACTATTGTTGCAGTTCAGGTAGACAACTTATGTTGTTGCCTCTGAGCAAAGGTTTAGGACTACAGCTACTGTGTAAATACTCATCACACATTTTTTATTATCAGGGTTGAACTTAAACCATCCAAATGGTCCTATGGCACTTAATGACATTTCCAGAGGCTGCTAGGTAAAGGAACCTGGAAGATTTCTCTTAGCTCTTGTACTGAGCATTTACTCACTAAGGAAGTCAAAACTATTTTCCTACAGGTTTGTTTCTTCTCAAATGCTTTAGCACTGATGCCCAAATATCCTTGCTGATCAGAGACCTCTACCAACAAACAGAGCTAAATACCCCTGAGATAAAAGCAGACATCATGACGAACTGAGGAAGAGAATTAGAGACATGTTCTCATGAAGTGCGCCTTGTTTGGTCCTGTTTATACCACAGGCCAGTTTGTTTCCAAAACAGATTTAGGGGATGCTTAGAGTAAATCTACAGATGGAATCTGATCTCAGCCCCAGGCCCTTGTGGAAGAAGAGCTTTTGTAACAGACTGAGCTGGGAGGTCAAGAAATTATGATTATGGGGCCTGACCTCCCAATCCATTCCTCTCTGTGGCAGAGGGAAGTTGTCCAAGCTACGTCTGCTTTTTGGGCTTCAATCCAATGCTTGCTGTGGAAAGTTTCCCATCAACTTCAAAGGACTTTGGACAAGACCCAGACAAAGAATTGACTTCCACTTCTGAGGCTACTATCCCAGCTTTCTACCCGCACTGTAACCACTCAGTCATAGTAATATTCCCCTTCTAATAAGGAGCTGGAAAAAAAAATCCTGGCAGATCCCCAAAGCACTGGCTCTTACTTCTTCAAAAGGATGAGCACAGCATTGGCTGTGCTGGCATCAAGGCCAGTTGTTGGCTCATCCAGAAAAAGCACTGGTGGCTCTGTGATGAGCTCCATCCCAATGTTGGTTCTCTTCCGCTCCCCTCCAGACACTCCRCGGATCAGTTCGGTTCCTACCTATGGAAAGAAGGGTCAGGCATTTGCAATGAGACTCCAACTGCCTAGCATGGCTCCCCACATTCAGCAATCCTTTCCTTTTCAGAGTACCATCAGTAAACGCAAGGGCTAGCAGCAGATGATGGGTCTGACTCTTACAGGGCACATTGGGTGTTATGTAACAATAAGAAGATAAATTTATTTTCAGACGTGCCAACACCTTTTATCTTCAGGGAACAAAGATGGTACCGACAAGGAAGAGCTGAAATGAGGCTGCAGCTATTAGAGTGCTTTGGTGGTCAGGGATTCCTTTCACAGGCAGCTCGCCTACTGCCCAAGTCAAAGTGGAGATACTGCCCTGAGGGACAAGCTCTGCACAAAACATCTCCACCACAGCCAATTTTCCATCTCTTATTTTTGCCAGTGCAAAAACAAATTCCTTGTCCCACAAAGCCAGGAAGTGACTGAGCAGCTTTCCAAGGTGTTACGGCTAGGCATCTCTTCCCCTCTGCGCTTATACAATACTTGGACACGGCCCAAGATTTTCCACTCTAAGCTGTCTCCAAGCTGTCTCCAAAGTGGACTGATTTCCAGYGTGCAATACAGTTTAGCCAGGATGGTGCTTATCTAAGAGTGGCTGCAAGCTTGCCAGGTTACTTGGTTGGCTTCCAGAGGGATGACAATTTCTAGGACTGCTGTTCTCACGACTCACCTTTGTATCAGCCACTTTGCTTAAGCCCAGCTCACTGATGATCTGGGTGACTCGCTCCTCCTTCTCTTCAATGGAGATGGAGCTGGGCAATCGCAGGGCAGCAGAGAAGTGCAGATTCTCTCTCACTGTCATGGTGCCCATGACAACATCATCCTGAAAGCACCACAAAGCAACAGTTGAAGAGCCTCATTCCCAGCCACCTGAAAAGGCACCAGAATCCCTATAATGGAAGTTGCTGAATAAAACGTTTGGAAGCCACAATGGAAACTAGACAGAATGATAACCACTGCTTGAAAACTTATAGGACATAATGCAAAGTTCAAGATTATACAAGAGGAGTCAAGGGTAGACTTGAGCTTTCTGGGCTCCCACTTTCACTCAGCACCAGCCATTACCAACACAACCTGCCTTCTGGATTAAGTTTGGTTGCTTTGTTACTTTGGACTTTGGAGAGATGTCTCAGACTGGACTCTCTTGCAAGAGTCTTTATGAGRCACTGAAGATTTGGAGAGTTTGAACTAGGATCAAGATTCAGCATCAGTCTTTTCAAATGCATTCTCTGAAAGCCCTGCAACCAGCAGCTTCCAGAAAAAGCTCCATATTCAGTGTSTGTCTGCAATCAGAAGTCCTGGATGGCTTCCAGATTTGGCTGCTCACCCAGTGCCAAGAAYCCCCTCCTTTTCAGCTCCCCCAGCGCTTCAAGGGTCTATAATTGGTCCAGGCTTCCACCCACTTCCCCAGATTCAGCTGCTTTTTCCTGTCTCACCCTGGGATGAAGCTCTGCCCAGCCTGCCAGAATCAGAGGAAGAACAGCAGGAGTTTATTTACTTCCTCGAATTATTGTCCAATAGTTTGAAGGTATTTCTTGCCAATTAAAACTACTTCTGAATTTTAGAAGAGCTTGGTGCTCTTCCTTCCATGCACTCCACCTCCCATCCCCATCCCTATTTTATTCGTTCACAAAGGAAATCCCTGGAATCTGTCACTCACAAAGTGTGCAAAATGTGCATTCACAAAGCTCTTGGTCTATACTCCTCCCTCTCGAGGGCTCCCAGGCCCTCACTCAAGTCTCAGTTACTCACCTGCACAACATATCCTGAGATGCACTTGAAGTTTGGAGGCTGTGGGATGCCATCTATAAGCACTTCCCCAGATAGGCCTGCTGGGTCCTTTCTGGCAGCCAGCACATCTAGGAGACTTCAGATAAACACCAGACATTGGATTTTGCCATAATAAACTGCTATAATTGTTGACTGGGTAAATATCACAAGTCAGATCTGCTGTTACAGCCTGCTAACAGCATGCTGCAAACCAAACAAGGATCATGGGAAGAGGTTTCTTCTGCTCCAGGGCTTTAACTGTTTATGCAGAAAGCCTGGTAAGGATGCAGGATTTAAATATAAACTGTTCACCAGCAGTATCGGTAACCTACGGACCCTCACAGTCCACTACAGAGGTTACCTCAGTCTCCCCAACAACAGCTGATCTGATAATCTCAAGGGAAAACACACACCAAAGCACCCTGCCAAGCAGCTGGAGCCTGCTCTGCAGCCAGCGGAGCGCAGAAGTAACTACTTTGATCTCAAGGCAATTAATCCAAATAGGTATCAGCATGACTACAGYTAAGACCAACGATGTAAAAGTAATTTTAACATAGCTCTGGACTCTCCTTACAGCAGATGCAGAGGTCAGCCTGCCTGCTAGTTCAGTAAACACTGCCTTGAGACTGCTCTTTTGAAAACATCCTGATTAGCTGGCAGTGTACTAAAAAGGGATGACCAAGGGTTACCATGAAGACATACCGATGCGAAATACGGTAATTTTTTTCTGTTCCTCAAAGGTGGAGAGAAAATAGCATCAGCATTGACAGCAGATGGTCTGCAAGGTACTTCCCTATAGTTTCATTCAAGTATAGAGCAATRTTGGCCTTCCCCCTTGTGAGGCCATAGGCAGGTTTGGGTGATGATCCAAAGTAGCTGCTCTACAGAAAGAGATTTTGCCATTTTCCTGGCAGCCCTCAATAGAGGGGTGTCAGCCTGGTATCTCCAAAGAAGCCTTGTCACAGTAACTTGGCACAGGACCGTGTCCCTCCTGCCCCTGAGGGAGCTGCCAGCAGGACCGAGAATCCACCTACACTAACAGTTCAGCTGGGCTGTGGTAGCTCAGGCCACAAAGGGGGCTGCAATAACAAGGACTACAGAGSAGGGCATGGGAAGGTGGAGAGGCAGGAAGGGCAGGAACCCCCAGCAGCGCAGGCAGCAGCAGCAGGACACGATGCCTTGACCACTTCACGGGATTTCCCACATGCACACACCAAAGGCCCAAGCCTGAGGATTCCTCGGGTCTTCCCCAGCCCTCACAGATTCCCACATCCCCTTCAAACAGACAGCTCTGGAAGCATAGAAGTAAATACTCACGAGGATTTACCACTGCCTGTCGGCCCCAGGATAGCGTTCAAGCCTGGTTTCATGATGCCACTGGAAGAAAAAGGAAAGGATTGTTCCCAAATGGGGATCTGTTCATATGCAGTTCATGGTGGAAATGGAATGGGAACAAAATGCTGTYGAAAGGAAAACTTGAGAGATTAAAAACTTCTTAAATCTCAAATCAATAATTGTTTTTCCTGTCTTTTCCTAGACAGATAGTCAGGACAGAAGCAGAGCTGGATATAAAAGCAACCTAGAACAGGCAGAAATTAAGGTGTCTTCCCTGCTGAGTTGGATCTAGAAAGAATAACTGCTTTCTGCTGCTCTTCTCCTCCTCCAGTTCCAGCCATACCCTCAGATCTTCTTCCACTTGAGCTTTGCTCCTAGTTYGCTCAGATATTTAATTGTATCAGCTCCAGCTAAATCCTAGCTATTTCCCCTAAGTGAATTAGGGGGTGATCATATGAACTGCAGCCTGGCAGGAGGGCAGTCACTTCTCTGCCAACACACCTGAGTCTCGCAGATGTCATGGATGTCTCAGTTCCACAGGAACAGGTCAATTCCTGCTCCTCCAGAACTTGCTTTMAACAAACAAACAAACTTACTAGACATTATGAAGGATCTTCTTTTCTGCAGTTTTCCGTTTACACAGGAATCCACTGGACTGCTTGACCGAGTACTGGATGTTATGGAAACTCACAACAGAGCCCCGGGGGGATCGGATGGATTCTCGCGTTGGAAATGAACGCTGGAAGTTGCCTGTTCCTTCCTCTTCTCCAACAGTAACGATGCTGTGGTCAGATGTGTCTGCCATCATGTCCCTGTTACACAGGTCAAGCTCCACTGCAGGTAGTTTGAGGTCACTGGTATTTTGGGCAGTTCCCATCTGGTGAGACATACAGTGCAAAAACATGGAAGGAAGGAGATCGGGGTGAAGAAGTGTGCAGAGAGCAAGATCCCACCCGCCACACCACCCTCTGCACGGGCCAGCTTTGAGGAAGAACCAACATCCACGCTGGAAGACAGTCAGTAATCCTGAACTCCAAGGCAGGTCGCTCCCGGGAAAGCCTTGCCCATGGGAAGCAAGGAAAGATCTGCTAGTTATATCAGCAGCACAAGGTGGGAAAGGTTACACAACGCATGGATGGGAAAAAAAGAAAAAAGGCAGGGCGACCCTGCCATTAAATGGAAAAGCCTGCTTAGACTTTTGAACCTTGGTTGTCTTCTGAGCCGCAGGTGTTCTGGACAGTCACATTCTTATCTCAACAATAGCGGCATAAACACTTTTATAGCGCGGGTGAGGGTTGCTACCTTAGTGCTCAGCACCAGCAAATTACTGTGGGCGCGGACAAGGGCGATGGGAGGATGAGAGGAGCTGAGCAGGGAGCGAGCGGGCTGAGACC